TGTTGCCCAAGATGTGACTGGTGGCAGCGCCACCGGAAAGGCACAAGAGCTCCGAGGAGAAGCTGCTGGCAAGGCCCAGGAGCTCAAGGGTGAAGCCAAGGGCGCTGCTGAGCAGGCCAAGGGCAAGGTGAAGGGTGCGGCTGAGGAGGTCAAGGGCAAGTTGTAAGCGAAGCTCAAACTTGTTATGATTCAGGTGGGATATAATGAAGTTCAGACCTCACAATGGTCTGTTGTACGATTACAAGGCACGCATCATAAGACTAGGGGAGCAAATTTCATGCATTAAGAAATCCGTTCAAACATTCCTCTTGTGTTAGACTCATCACAAGTATGATCAGGTCACATTGGCTTTTTGTTATGTGATCATACCGCAACTAAAAACATAGACCTGTGTCCGTATGTGACACTTCACTCAGGCTAGTGAAATCTGACGTCATCAATTTTGGAATGATTTGTCCGATATCATGTCTTATTCGTCTCCATATATCTTCATATCGTTCAGGTATTACACATACTTATCACTCTTATTCCACGATGCAATTTGAAACAATGCTGCAATCTGCCGCCGTTTGCTTTCCACCCTAACATCAGAAGCACATGTGCTTAAGCAATGTTTGTCTTCTTGGGCTGGACATCGATTTCGCCAAGAGGGAAGCGAACCCATGTCGTATCCTCAGTCATAATGCCAGCCGCACCTGCATAGAAGGCTGCGAAGGCACAGATGCACGAGAATGCGCCTCCAGTCTTGTTGATTCGAATAGCAGCAGTAGGGTGAGTGGTCTGCAGAAACTGAGCCAAGCTGAGGAAGAGGAAAGCGAGGAACAAGAAACCGAGAACAATGAGGATGGCAATGTTGGTCTTGAGAGCGGCCACGAAGAATATAAGAGTGAGAAAGCACCAAAGAATGAGGAAGATACCCAATGCAAAGCTGTAAGCGCGGTCATCGCCCTTGTATGCGTCCTTGATACCCAGCTCAGGAACAAAGAACATGGCGAAAGCAAGCCAAAAGGCACCGTAGGAACAATGGACGGTAGTACCAAAGGTATTGCCGACGCGGAACTCCATAAGACCGGCAAAAAGCTGAGCAATGCCACCGAAGAAGACAGCCAGACCAAAGATGGCTTGGTCAGGACCGACACCGCCGAAGGGGTTTGATCCAGGAAGACTGTAACACAGGATTAGTATGTGGATCTATGACCAGGCAGATTGGGATAATTTTACCCAGCACCGCACTGGTAGAGGCCGAGGACAAAGGTAGTCAAGGCGAAACTAATCAAACCCAATGGACCAGGATTGGCAACCTTGAAGAACGAAGGGTTGTACACCTGCGACACCATGGACTGGTGAGGCTTCTGAACGTTCCTATTTCGTTCCTCATAGTAGTGGTTGGGATGATTGCAATGGTAGTGGCCTTCCTCCTTATCGGTGTACTGTGTAGGGGTAGTTGCCCCATGGGAGGGAGGAGTGCCTGAAGACATCTCGTCTAGTATTGCACTAAAATTTATGGAAAACGAGTAGTGATAAGCTTGTCACTTAACACGAGAGAAACAAGCTTATATAGAAAGATTCGGGGTAGAGTTCTGGAGAAAGATCTGGTCAACGCACACATGAGGTCCAGGACATAGCTTTATATTACCCCATCGTTCGTACTTGGGTACGAGATCTACCCCAAACTCAACTTTGAGATGACGAACGAACGGACCTTCGACTCCATCGGGCTCTTGGAGTGTGGAAACGGCAAATTCCAAAAGGTCACATTGGGAGGATCAGCAACAGGCTGAGAACTGATAGTCCAATGTGATAGCCAAGCTCATTGGAACGTGTCCCATCTTCCGAGCTCAACGACCCACGACACTAACAGCCCTCGAGCAGGAGCATCACCAAAGGGCCGAGAATCAAGTATGGACGTGGAGAACAGGCCCAGTAATCAACGTGGAGGTTCCCAACATGGTGTGACGGAACCTTTGCAGGGCCTATTACATATCCCGGGAAACGCTGGATATGTCGGCACGCGGATATACCATGCTGGAGACTGTGCTTGGGGGCGATTTAGACGAAGCGGAGCCAGTGTCCAGGGTATAATCCAGTCGTCATAAGGTTGGTGATGAGAATTGTGTGGCAATGGTTGGCTAGGTTCGAGTCAAGTATCCGTACCCGCGGAGATTTCAAATCATATCATGTAAACCACTGAGCAGGCCGTTGATTTTGGCCAGGGTCTTTCATCAGGCCTGAAAATAATACTTCAAGCATCTTCGTCTGCGAAGCTGGGAAGTGTTTAAGACCAACATTGAGGCTCACGCCAAGGCGGGAGGATCAATCCTGGCTCAGCTAGTACTGAGCCGCAACACGAACCAGCAGGGGAGGTGCACGTCGGAGTTATTCCCACGAGAAAACACCCTAGAGGCATTAGTAAAGCAGAGAAAAGCTTGCGGTGGAGATGACGACCGAAATGTATCGTTAATAAGTGGAGTGATTGTCATGGCTGCCGGAAGAATTCCGCTGATGAACTCCACCAACTTCAGCTCGCAACGTGGTAGAAACGAGGCTATCAAGAGTCATGTTCATACTGCTGTTGGTTTCATTGGCTCCCGGATACAGGAAATGCCGGCCCCAGGTACCGTGTGTCTGGTTGATCTCTTGACGGGTCTTCCCCATATGTGACGAACATTATCTCACCAACCCCAAATCGCGGATTTGGGCCTTGACTCAAATGAGGGGAAGCATAAACGGAATTAACTAACACGAGAGAAACGTGAATCATGTCCAGATCGAGGCTCCCGACTTAGCGCAGCGCCTCTGATGACATGGTGTGTATGATGATTTGTTATTCCCGCGCTTATATCCTTTTATAATTTGATAATATCCTCGGTAGCGCGCGAATGGAAGCTCGGTTACGGATACATTCAAGTAATTGCCGAATGATTCAGGGTAATCAGTCTTTCATCTCGATGAGAGATAGTATTTCAATACTTCAAGAGTCGGATACGTCGGCAGTGTTGGTTGCTGGAAGAATTGCTTTACTTCGAACTGATCGTCGGCTGGAGTTGCTTTTGACTGATTTTACCCGGGAGCGATTGGAAGGAAATACAGTGGTAACCCGAACGGATAATGTGAACGAATCTGTCGTCGAATGCAAGGGTATCTCGGGACGTCGGCAGATCGAAGCAGGGATGCTTTGGAGACAGCCTTCACCGTGGTGAACATCTCGGTGAAGAAACATGGATCTGGTCGCGTGACCATGCCGGCTGTGGCTTCAATCGCCGTTGTCGGTGGCCCGGCCATTAGATGATCCCTGCCACCTCAGTTGGCGATTGTGGGGAACGGAATCTGCGGGTTTGGATGATGCGCATGCTCATTCGCTACTCGTGATACGCCACTTAAACCTCCATCTTCTGTAGCTATCGTTTCCTGCTCTAACATGCTCATTCCGCGATATCCAAAACCTCACAGCTCGCGGTGCTGAACATGATTTCAATGTCTCTGTGCTTATGCCACTCAACAAACTCGTCATGCCGCTGAACAAATCTGCTCTTTTTCTCATTCCCTGCAATGCCTTTCCCGCCGTGTCGAGCATAACGCCTATCCGGTCTATAACGTCATCTAGAGGGGTACGATTTAGCCACGCACCAGCAACGGCTTCCTCAATAAACGGGTATAGGCGATATGCTACAGTAAACAGCGACCAAAGAGGCAGCTTCAATCATGAAGAAGTACCCGACTGGCCCAAAACTTCGTATCCTTCTCCCTACGAGATTTTCGCTATGAAGAGTGACGCTCCGTATACCAAGCATCGATTCTATCAGCTTGTCAAAGTCTACCACCCCGACCGACACAGCCATGCTCCTAATACCGATAATATAACACACAAGGTCCGCTTAGAACGGTATCGCCTTATTGTTGCTGCCAACGACCTCCTCAGCGATCCCTCTAAACGTCAACTCTATGATGTCCACGGCGTAGGATGGACTGGTGGTCGGCCTCAGACACTCAATGAAACTGTCCGCAGTGCTGATCGTGCCTGGCGTCACAGAGCCGGATCTGCCGCCCATAATGCTACATGGGAGGACTGGGAACGATGGTACGATGCCCGTGATGGCAGAGTCAAGGATCCCTTATACATGTCCAATGGCCTTTTTGCCACTCTCGTCGTTGTTATGTGCATGATAGGCGCTTTTGCTCAGATGAGTAGAGCAGATCAATACGGCGCCGATCTCGTGGAAATGAAGAACCAGTCCAACCTCGCCATTGGGCAACAGGTTGCCCGTCGTAATACAATTGCAGCGGGCAGGTCCAAGGATGAAAGAGTTGATATGTTTTTGAAGGACAGAGAGAACTTGAATTATGCTTTCCAGCCTGGGAAGTATGACAACGAAGTGCTGCAGGCAGCTCAAGGCCATGGTCCTGGTCCTGGTCATGAACATAATGGAAAGGTGTGAAAGGAGCAGGAGTGGACTTAGAGGATGAGGCAACACGGGGTTGATGAGAACATACCTTGCTTTGCTGCGTTCCTTTTCTTTCGTTCTGTTTTGGAGCATTGCCGTGTGTCAGCACGCAAGGAGTCTGGAGTCTTTCGATGTTGGTCCTTAGCTAACAAATGATTTCCTTTTGCAGTAAATATCTGCAGAGTGAAAGAGGTCTGGCCAAAGAATTAATGCCAGTGATTCAAAATCAATATCTAACTTGGCTACTTTTGATTACCACATCATACCGACTTGGTCTTGGTTATACCAAATGTGGAACATCAAAACATGATTCAAAGTTGAGACAGCTTTGATTAATCTCAAGCATGTTAAATTGCGTTGGCCTTCCCCTGTCCTATCTATAGCGCAACTAAATGGTTAAAAACTTCAAAATGGTCCCTTTCGGACCCATCTCCTATCCGTAAGCGACAAAGCTGTAGCACAAAATCTCGTCGTCTCACTCTCATTCAGAAATACCGAAATTAAGCCAGCCCCTATTAGGCAAAAGGTCTCTCCAAGAATCAAGGCATAAAGTCTTTATTAGAACGCTTTCCTCTGACTTTCTCCCCGCTCCCGACTCTGATCAGTCCTGTTTGACATTGCGCTGAATCTCGAAACGAAAGACACAGGGCTTACAACCCGTCGATCAGCCTGGGAAGAACTAGCTCGAGACAGAGGTGATATAGGTGACATGTCATCGTCGGGACTTGGCGGAGACTCTGAGCCTTCTGAGCCATGCGCCTCAGTCATGCGGCCTCTGCTGACGGTATATGCCCGTGGCTTCTGCCACGCTCGAGTAAAGCTTCTTACCTCTGCCACTGCGGGCTGAGGCGTAGGTGATCGGACACGGTCGCCATAACTGACCCAGGAATCCTCCAAGCTCGAAATCCGGTCGTTACCCGATTCTGTTAGAGGCGGAGGTGTTGGTAATGGGGAACTTGGTGGTGAAGGACTGTAGAGTGGGGTCTGCGGATGAGTAACCTGGGTCACTCTTGAGCGTCTTCGCGACTTTCGAACCAAGAGCCATGTTACCAAGGCTGCAATGGCTAAGCTAAAGAGAACACCGATCACTATAGCAGCTATAACTCCATCTGATAGACCACCAGAGCGGTGTAATGTTGAAGCCACAGAACCAGAGCTCTGGCTGTCAGCAGGAGTCGCAGTAGAATATGTAGTATAATTGCTTGTAGTAGCGACAGGTGTCGCTGTAATAGTTGTTGCAGAAGCTGTTGGTATAGTATTATTAGGTATACCATCTGGATCACTCGAATATGGATTCATCGTCTCCCACACTGTCTCTGTCATGACACCGCTCTCGCTGTCTCGGTCGCTGTGGACAACTGTTCTAAATGTCGAACCATGGCTGGAGTGCCAAGTTCGTGGGACATCTCTGTCCTCATGAGAAGGAACTGTAACGTCTGCTGGAATCATAGTAGCCATGAGTTTGTCAGTTTTGAGGGACAAGCTTGTCGTAGATGCACCAGAGTTTGTCGTAACCAAACTTGATATTGAGAATACTTTAGAAGAAAAGAAGGAGAGATTTATTCTAGGTACTGTGCCATAACTTGTATCGACTGATCCGTGTTTGCTACCTTGTGCTTCAGCGCGCAAGAGAACCATTGGTGACACCAGTGATCCCCGGCCAAAGCCTCATTGTTGGACTGGTAAACTATCTTTAGTCGTGGGCTAAAAGCCATTGTCAATCAAGAATGCGGTGGTACGATGTTCTTGGGTGAACAATTCAGGTGACGGGAGAAGAATTGTGTTATTGATCAATGTTACATTTCCGCTAGCTTTGGTTGAATCACGGGTTTCGAAGACCCTCAACCTTTGCCCTCATGACACGTTCAGCATTTGCAGGAACAATGCGCTCAGTAGGTCCAAGTCGCATCATCTTGCCCACAAGGAACATGAGCTTGCCCTGAGGAAACGTCTCGGAGCTAGCGAACTCCCGTAAGATCTTGTGCTCTCCTTCCATGGCCTCATCAGCCAACTGCTCATATTCCTCTTCAGGAATCTCTTTGAACCACAAATCGTTCTCTGCAATTGCTTGGGTGACTCCACCTTCGATCTCCTTTAGATAGATGGCAAAGAGAAGTTCCTTGGCAACTTTGCCCGTGATTTGTTTGCATATCAGATGATAAAGGAGCTGCGACAGGTCTGAGTCAGGAACCTGCTCGCAATCGCCTTCTGGCGTGAATGTCAGATCTCGGGCTGCAAGTGGGCCAGCCTTGTAGGTAGTCAGGCGGCCAAGTTCGTGGATGATCCAGTTACCCACCAGAGCAGAATAGCTCTTGAACTCGGGCATCTCGGCCTCGCTGAAATCTTCGGAAAGCTTGTTCTGGATGGAGTGAAGGACCTTATAGTAGTATTGGACACGTGAACCATTCTCCAGGTTAATCAGAGACAACGCATCCTTGGCCGTAAGGCCAAATCGGGCAATCAGAGTGTCCAGCTCCGAATCAGGAGTGGCAGCCAGTGACTGACGCAAGTGGCCTATCAGGTCGTTTCCAATGACAAGAGGCGCGATATCAGGATCTGGCATATATCGATAATCAACTTCGCCCTCTTTTCCACGTAGTCGCCGTGTTTCCGTAGACCCAATAGACCAACCGCGAGTTTCACTGGGAATAGAGCGGCCGGCTTCCAGCTCGCGAATTTGACGGTCACGTTCTGCGATGATTGCATCTTCAACCGCTTTGATGGTACTCAAGTTTTTGATCTCAGTCCTTGTGCCGAGAGATGGGTTAGATCCATCAGTTCTTCGAACAGAAACGTTGACATCAGCTCGCAGACCTCCTGTTTCCATACCCGAGACGCAGGCATCCACAGTATTCAGCAACATCTGAATCTTTCGCACAAGAACGGCAGCAGTGCGAGGGTGATGAAGTTCAGGCTCGGTAATAATCTCAATAAGAGGAACACCTACGCGGTTGAAGTCGAGCCATTGAACCTTGTCGGCTTGAGCGAGCGTCTTGGCAGTATCCTGCTCGAGCTGAACCTGCTTAATTCCGATCGTCACACTTTCGCCATCTTGAGGAGAAATTCCATCTCGAGCCAGAAGAGTGATGTGCCCATTCTTGGCGAAGGGCTCATAGTACTGAGTGATTTGGTATCCAGAGGGCTGATCCCACCAGAAATAGTGTTTTCGGTCAAATCGACTGACCTCTTGGACTTCGCAGTTCAGGGCCAAGGCTGCACGCAAAGCGGGAATTAAAGTTTCCTTTTGGAACAAAGGCTGGCTTCCCGGCATAGCGACATCGAAAAGAGCAACATGGCTATTGGGTTCATCGTTGAAAGACGTGACAGCTGGTGAGAATAACTTGCGGGCGGTGTTCAATTGAGCGTGAATCTCAATACCGACGGTCAATTCCCAACCATCAACAGTCTGAGAGTCACCCTTTGGCTTCTTTTTGCCTTGCTTATTGGCCTTCTTGGCTTCATCCTTGAGCTGCTTCCGTAAAGGCACTGGTTGTTCGGGAGTTGGTGTGACAACTTCAGAAGTAGCATGCAACCGCCTTGTCGTATTGGCGATGGTTATGGCCGCTGATGGCAGTGATGTATGTCTAGATACATGGCGCACACTGATACATCCTTGACGGGGTATCTGTCCTTTCAACAAATACCTGCTGAGAATAGACGTTGATATTCGTGACATGGCGACAAGAGATGCAAGTTCTTAGCCATATATCTGCTGGTTCAGGCTTTCGGGATTCACTCGGGCCCGTGTGGTCTGATATAGGGATATCAACCAAGGCCCCAAGCTTTTGAGCTCGTTTGGTGTGGGGTTGTTTTGGTTGGAGGGACGTAACGGAGGGTTACGGCAGAATGCACTATGACTTGGCAGTTCAAATAAGGCTGATCGTATGCATACAATCAGAACGGCCTCAGAACAATAGTTACCCACTCAACTGATCTTTTGAGGGGGATCTTGAAGCAATCATTGGATGTTCTTTTTAAAGCCCAGGTGGAGCTATCAACTCTGGCGAATTATTCGTACCTAGAACTAGAGATCAATTCTAATCACGTGCCCCAGGACCAGGATCTCAATTGCCTGTGTCTGTGGTTTCTGTATCTCTTGGTAAGGTATTTACCTTTGATCTATACCTAGATTATCTAAATATCTATTTCCAACTTCAGAAAAACGCGATTGAAGAATGTATCACCTCTTATTTCTACGGGCACTTGTCCAGATTCCATATCAGCCGAAAGAGTGTCCGTCTTTTGCTATCTTCGGCTGCCATTACTTGCATTGGATGGTTGGATGACTGCTCTCAACACCACTTCACATGCGACAGTCACTACTTCGGATACCACCCAACACTCGGACTCCCCACCATCACTAATTCATACTCCAATGGCAAGCTTCAGTGCTCAGCCGGCCTCCGCGGCTCAGCTGTTCACGCCGTCGCCGCTGGAAACAAGGCAGTCAGGCGAGCGCATTGACTGTGAATACCAGAAGACATATCATCTCGTCGTCATCTTATGCTGATTCATTAGCTTTAAGAAGTTTCAAGCTTGCATTCTCATCAACTTTCCCGCATTCACTGTCGATACCTGTCATTTTAGAGCCCCATTCAAAGTTATCGGGAACTTTTCCTCGTCTTACCTTCTCCATGATTTAATGTCAAACCTCACTTGAATATTGGGCTGACGTATTTACGGTTGCTCACGGATTCTGGCGTCAGTTTCCGGGTGCTACACTCCTGTCAAACGCTGCGTTCAGCTTTATCACAGCCTCAAAAGACGGGCACCATTGCTGAGACGCCTCCTATGCTTTAGCGAAGCTTGAAGAATATTACGTTTATCGCAGGGTGACACCTCAATATTACAGTAACAAGTCTTTGATAACACGAGCGCGGAGTCTATCAAACAAACCCTTCAGGCGAATCGACAAAGACACCAGTTCGCACAGGACCAACAGCGCCAGTTCGCAATGAGCGACAGAGCACAAACAAGACCCCGGCCGTCGTGGTCTTCTTCACAGGGCGCCATCCAAGAAACAGTATCCCCCCAGCAATCGAAGGTTGAAGACTTTGAAGAAACAACCAGTCAGCCGCCCAGCGAAGGTGCTTCTCAATATCCAACACCGCCTAGTTCGTCATCCAAACTGGATCACACCCGCTCAAACGTTCAACGAACTGTCAGCGGGTCCGCCGTTACGCAGCCAGCGCCCAACGACGATGCAGCCATAACTAAGCCCACTGGTAACAGGAGCAAGATGCCAAGGGAAGCTAGGAACATGAAGAACAGGGGATCACGTCGACCTGCCAGTATATCATCATCCGGGCCTGATCCACACTTTGTCCCCCATGACACCTTCGCATCTTCCCCGGAATCGAACTATTTCAAGAATACTCCTAGCGGACGTCAAGCACTGCCTTCGGCATATGATCCAACAACTGTTGCCGTTGCCAACTATCCTCAATCTCCTGTTAGTCCTATGTCATACACTGCTTGGGGACCAAACCATACTCCGGCTGGCTATCCGCCTTCACAAGACCCCTTTTCACCTCAGCAATCGGGTTTCCCACACCTCGAGCAATCTTACCATCCTGGACTTACATATTTGAACCAAACGGCCAGCACATTGGAACCTCCTATTGTCAATCAAAATCCTTCATACGATACTTCATACGACACCTCTTACCCAGAAACCCAGGATGAAATGGCTGTGCCTAATGACAACCTCGCGATCGAAGCTCTGGATGGATACGCATCTATCGCAGCCAGGATCTCCGGCCGAGCTGAGCCACAACTGATACCCATATATCGGAGATTCGACTGGCTACTTCACCGCAACCTTTTGCGTTATCAAGACCAACTCGGGATGTTGGAGGAAGAACTAATACGCATGGATTCTATCACTACACGATTTGGGGCGCATATACCTGTATCTGCTCGGGAAGAACGGAGGCTTGGCCACCAGATTCATCAAGATAGGGTAACTCTTATGGAAAGAATAGATATCATTCTTTCCAAGTACAGTGAGTGCATCAAAGACTCGGGCACGACTTCATCTAACTGAGTCAGAAATGGCGATGTCGACACTGGAATACATGCAAAAGCGACGGCCACCAACGAATGACGAGATACAAGCTTACAGAGCTTATCTGAACCGTAGGCAGATTTTGGTAGACGAAGAAACTCAATTCCTTGGTGCGTCAGACCTCCTCGCTCTATCACACGGGACGGCAACAAATGTTCCTGGAGTCAATCAAGCACCACCTGCCGCTCCAATGGTTCCCCTGAGAACTCTCATGAACGGATTTTCTATGAGTTTTCTCTGCTTAGGGGTGTTGATGGTGGTTCTTCCCGACCTCATAACCCGATTGGTCATGTTGGTCTGTTATGGTGTGCTGGTCACTACGATATTATCGACTACCGGACATCTCAGACGACTCAGACAACTGTTCGAAGGCTAAATGGGACATTTTCTGTTTACTTCCAGCTTCAAGTTTTCAAGTGAAAGCTTTCTCTTGAAAGGCGGTTAGAAGGATTTGATAAGAGGAGAGGTCAATACCCACATGCTAAGATTTCCTTTCCTCTTTGTACGATGATGGGCAGAATATGAACTCACAATATCATATTTGAGAGTATGAAAACCCCATTGCGATAAAATTATCAGGATAAGAGGGATATCATTAACTTTGCGTATCAAGTTCAGTCTACAGCTGTACAAGAATTCTGCACAGCAAACATGGACAGTGATTTGACGTTCTGTAATATCCAATCGGGCGAATGGTTTAGTGGTATAATACTCCCTTAGCATAATTCATCCGAATAATCTGGGAGTGGTCCAGGGTTCGATTCCCTGTTCGTCCATTGTAGGTGGTTTAAATCCATCATTATATCCTGTTTTTTGCATATTTTACAATATGCCTTACCCTAAACACCATAGATCCTGTTTATCGACCATGCTTTACGGAGTATGTAATAACGCATTAGAACAGTATTGCTTTTAGACACTTGTATAGCCAGGTGCATTGCTCATTTGGAAATAACTCCACTCGCAATTAATACTTCCAAGGTCTTGATGTGAGAATGTTATAGGCAGATGCAAAGGATCCTAAGACACACCGTTTTATCACAAGAACCCACACTTTCGCTTAGACAAACCTCAACCTGTCCTCCCCATGCCTGCAGAGTTGGATATAGGTACTTTGCATAACTCTTCTCGGAGACGGCCTGTCCTTCATCGGGTACTCACTCTGAAGCACCGGCAAGTGACACGACACTAGTGCACTGTCCAGACACGTGTTGGAGAGACAATAGCACAGCCTATGTGAGATTGCCCTGAGTCTCGTTGAAGCATCGTATTCATGCTGAGCAAGGAGACTTTCATGTTGTTCAACAGATTTCGTGAGTCTAGACTGAGGATAATATAGCAAAAGCTACTGGGAGGAGATGTGAATCGTTAATGTATCTCAGACAGGTATGGCTTATGTTGTGTGTAGAAATGCGAGATGCCGCTGCGGTTGCAACGTAGGACAGGGCCCGCAGTATCGCACAGTCAAGCAGAGAATGCCACTGAAATTCAGAGGCAAGATTAATAAACATGAGCTGTGAAAGACAATGCTGTTGACCGATGTCGATTGCGTAGATGGCGGTTCTTCATATCGAGGATTAGTTTCGATGGGTAGAGTGGTAGTACGGAGCTGCTTCGAAGACTTGTATATTTCTAATACTTGATAGCTGCATTGAAGACCTGTATACCTGTACATATGAGTGTAGGAATATGGACTATTTTGTGTATAGTAGCCACCCCTGAGAACATAAGGGGTCCCAAGAAACCTACTGGGAACAGATCCAACAATACTCATCCCAGTGACCAAATAGAACCCCCCCCTAGAAATGACACCAATAATATCAAAAAGTCGTTCAATTCTCTCTCCGGCAACTATTGCTATTATTGAAACCCTTTATGAAGAGACTTTGTGACTCAACTTCCAGTTCAGGGGCAAACACCAAAAGCGTGATGGTAGCTTCAACACCACGTAGTGCAACAAAGAGTCGGTACCACCAAATAACGGCTGTTGCTTTAGCATTCTACCAGTATCCATAGTTACATATACTAGTTGCTGGATGTTACCTACTCATCCCTATTGTTGTTGAACCGTTGCCCCTTGAAACCATAACTCGCCAGCTGCTCATCACTGCAACGGTCTGTCACTGTCAACGGACTGACACTTGCAGCCTACCTAACGCAGGGGCCTCTTCTATTGTTTACCTCTGTGTCGAGGTAGAAAAGGAATCCTCTCGTCATTTGATTTTCCACTTCTCTTCTTCTCTTCTTCACCCTCTCTCTCATCTTCTCTTCACTGCATCGATCGTGCACTTCACCACCCTCTTGCATTATCCTTTGCACATAGTCACTTGCACTACAACATCTTCAACATCAAACCTGTGAGTCTTTCTTTAATTCTCACATTCGAACTCTGTGTGTCTCTTGAAAGCATTCTGTACTTGTGTCTCTTCAACTCCGCCGCGTTTCTCACCCAGGCACCTCTCGATCTCCTCTCCTCTCCACCATCACGCCTCACAGAACACTTGCTAATTTATTCGGTATCCAACAGACTCATCACCATCGCGATGGCTGTTTTGAAGCTCAAGGCTGTCGCCACCATTCTGGCTTTCTGTGCTGCCTCTGCCGCCGCAACTGGGGGAGAGACTGCTACTTGTCTGTGTTCGTAACCTCAGTAGCCTGGCGATATTATATTTGCACTAACACTCGCCTAGCTGCTCATACCACCACCGAAACTGCTGTGACTGATTCTGGTTATACAGTCTCTGACGGTATGCATTTCTGTTACCTTTGCTATGGCCTATACTGACTGATGGTAGGTGTTACTGTCCCGACCATGAACATCTGCACTGTCACCCACGAGACCCAGTGCAATCAAGTCACCTCCGGGCCTTACAGCGTTGAGATGCAGCCTTCCTCTGCCGCCGGCATCCCCCCTGTTCCCACTGGAGCTACTCCTCCTGACAGCTCCGCTATCTCCGTCGGCGCCCAGGGTACCTCTGCTTCCACCGAGGCCGGCCCTCCTGCTGAACAAACTGGAGCTCCGTCTGCTGGTGTCCCTGTTGTCCCTATGCCTCCCTCCTCCGGGCCCAGCTACGTCTCTGGACCTGGTTCTGTCCCTGCCGAGCAGGGAACCAACCCTGGCCCTACCAACTCCGCCGGTGTCGAGAACCCTTCCCCTTCTGCTGTCGACAGTGTCACCGATGTGTCTGGCGTCCAGACCACCACCGCCGCCTACGGATCCTCCGTCTCTGACACCGCTGTTGTCGTGACTGACTCCGAGACCGGGTACGAGTCCGTTATCTCTGGCACTGCCACAGACACCTACCCTTCCTCTGCTGAAGAGACCGACGAGAGCACTCCTACTGGCATTCCTGGTGTCACTGCCAGCGCAGCAGCTAAGATGCTTGCTCCTGGTGCCGCACTCGGCATCGCTGGCATGCTCATCGCTGCCATCTTCTAAATAAAACTTCTAGATCATGCTTCCACATGCATTCATCATGCTCACTCTATACTCGGATATATCTTTCACGCTAGAGAGAAACGGATAGTGTTGGATGGTTTGACATGGAAATATCAATGGTCGTTGGTTTAAGAGCCTGCAGCAAGTAGAATGATAGCACGTACAGGATTGTGATGGATTTTCTGGCGCTTCGGAACCGAGTGAGGGACTTAATACGCGTTGTGCTGTACCTAGGTACTTTGAAAAGAACTCTGATTTGCTACCATCATACGTAGTATCTGTCTTTATTGTACGCCGTGAAACTATCCAAACTAGTGTGCTAAGACTGACCTCTCTATACGCCGTCATGTATAAACACCCTTGATGTCCTAATATCTTTACTCTTTGACATGACATATAGGGCAGCCCCCTTTCATCTTATCCTTTAGTAATCGCGCTCTCATCACCTTCATGCCTATGGAGTACCGACTTCCCTCCTCAGAGCCATTGCCTAAACCAACATCGACCTTTTTGTTCCCATGCAACATCTCCAAGAGATGACTTACGTGAAACACATGCCCGCAAGCATACCCGACTAACGTTTCCATCTCGAACTCAGTAAATGGCTCATGACATCTTGCGCAATGTCCTGGTTTCGGCACTCTGTGATCATGGGCCGTAGATGGGTGAGAGATGTTAGGTTCTGGATTGTCGGGGTCCGTGGAAACATCCTTGACTTGTATATCCACATGTTCCTGTTCCTGAATAACTACTTCGAACTTGATACCCTTACGCTGGCCAGCTCGAAGCTCGTTCTGCGCCGTGGCAACCTCACTGCGAAGGACTCGTGCAACACCCGAGCTAATGCTATACTGGATCTCGTGTTCCTTCATCATGTGCGTAAGCCCTTCCCTGAGACCCTCAATCTCGAGACCCTCGGGAATTCGCTGCACTACAGTAATTGGGTTGATAGCTGTACCGACTTGCTCTAGCAGACCTCGAATGAAGCTGGGCTTGTCCATGCTGTATTTAAGTAGGTCTTCCCATAGGTCAGGGTCGTCCTGTTCTTTGGCAAACTCGATTGCTTTGTGAACATTCTTTAGACGATCGATGATGAGGTAGAGAGCTCGTTTCATTTGGCCCGTTTTAGAGTATAGAAACACGAGCTCGTCGTAGTATGAGAACGTCTCACACTCTTGAACAGCCTACAATGAGTTAGTAGCTAGGACGCAATGATGGTTTTCTTTTGGGCTTCGGGTTACCTTTTCAAATGTATAAGAGACTGAAGTCTTCAGGTATTGCATAAGCAACGCCCGGTCGAAGGTCGCAAACAAATGGACAGCTAAATCCGCGAAGTTGTCAACCAAAGATTGACTGTCCATAACCAGCCGGTCCACATTCTCTCCACTATGTTCCTGAATACCATCGCCCTTCCATAGACCTCGGAAATAGAAGTATATGTACAAGTTGAGCTTCTTGGAGAGTAGTTGTTCCACCACAATATCAGGGCGTAGGAGACCATGCTGAGCTTCATCAACGAGTAGTGTGATGGCTTCTGATG